TAAACCTCTCTTCGTGCGAAGCGCCTTACGCATATGTGGTACAGTATGTAGGAAAAAGGTAAGTGTGAGTGAGTCTTTATTTCTCTAGCACAAACCTCGCTTTTGTCTCTGAGCAACATGTTGCGCTCGTGATAATTGAGTAAGTCATCCAGTAAACACTCCACCTTCTCAGTTAAGGTATCCATACCCTGAAACATAATTTCATTTCCACACATTATAATCAGCTTGCATGTATTGACATGCAACCTCTTTCTTCTTGTCTTCATCGGGGCAATTCGACAGTTCGTCAAAAAATGCTGCGACCGTTGCTAAGACGAGGAAGGTACCCACAGGCAAGACTCGGCGGTACGACTCTTTTAACTGGAACGTCAAACCAGAATGAGTGACAGAATAAACGATTTGCGCGTACCTGATCAAGAGTGAAAGGCATTTTGTTGTTGCCAACTTCTTCTGCCAGATACTCGTAGAATCGCTGCAGAAGTTCCTCCCAGTGTTGCTGTCTATACCTCCCGCTCAGGCAAGTACCGAACAACCTCACAAGATCGTTCGCTGGGCAACCCATATGTGCAGTCTTAAAATTAGACATCTTTTTGTTGGAAAGAATTTATTGCTCAGCAATGTAGAACAAAATTGCTACATTGGTGTTTTGTCGTCAACTAACCCTCCTCGTATTACACAAATCTGAATTGTTTGCTTAGGTGCTTCATGTTAAACGCAGCGTCAGGGCAAATATGAAACCCTGATAAAGCTTTTGCACAAATAGCATTGCACCGATTTGCTTCTGAAGCGAGCAGACCGCTTCGAAAGAGGCGAGCGGAACACTCTGGCAATTTGCCCGCCCCTAAATACAGTACTACTAGGTCGCGCACAACGACGCAGGGTCCCACCGCGATGCGTCTTAACCTCGGCGGCAAGCGTCGATACTCAAATCAACACTTCTGGAATAGCCCGTTTTCTCCATATTCGTACTCTGCAGACTGCATTTTCGGAATCAGAGGGAAGAATAAGCCCAGGTGAGAAAAAACAATTTTGTTCGAAATCTTACCCGAACAATGCCTTCACGAAATCCCTAGTTTGAGAAGGGTAGGACAAACAAAGAACACTACC